GCTTAATTGGAAGTTTTATGCTGAAGTATCAAGTACAGTCTAACTCCTATTAAGCGGCCAGGGAGGTGGTTGCTTAATAGGGGCTGGCCACTCAATAGGGGTTCGTGTGCTTTGAATATTTTCTAGTTTGGGTTAATTGCTTAGTGAACATAGAATCACGTCAAGACAATCATAAACGTGTGTTTGAACGTTTTCATCAGTTGTCAAATTCTTTTTTTGGACTCTTATCTGCCATCTAAAGAAAACCAAACTACATGTACAGTGTAATATTAAATTTTGGGTGGCTGCTTAAAAGAGTAAGAGCAATGGAGAACTTCCTCCTCGGAACGACCAAAAAGTGGCTGCGACCGCTTAGTAGAAGTGGCCGGTTAACAGGAGTTTTACTTACAGTGTTTTATTGGCAACAATTTCTGGACTTTGATAACTGGCCACTTATTAAGGGGCGACCTCTTAATAGGTGGCGGCTTAATAGAGGTTGGTATGGTGACACTACATCGATTTCTATGAAATGACGTCATTAGACGTGGTCTAGTCCCTTCGGTTCTGTTCTATACGCTGGCTATTTTCTGTCAATCAAATATGACAAAGATCAACAAGAAGAAAACCAAGTAAAAAGACATGAGGATTTGTAGAGCAGGTTGAGGGCGAGAGCACTATAAGAACTCCATAGTTCACATGTAGCAATTACGTTATAAGCTCGAAATTTCTATTTAACAATTAGATTATGAGCTCGAGATTTCTATCAGGTGATAGTTGAGAATGATACCGGTTTCGCCCCATGGCGAGTTCGCCCCCACCAAGTTCGTCCCCACTATAAAATTTCTATTTCGAATTCGCCCCAAAATTTTGAGTTCGTATTTACGTAGTTGTTATCGAGTTATTAATACGGTTTTCGAAGAACCATTTCAGTCTATGTATGTTTGATAAGCTTAGATGATGATTGTTCGCTTGTTGCAGCCGGCGCGCGCACAGCAACAAAGTCAAACGGTTACTGGTCATCTCGCCGCCACCAGGGAGTCTCGCCACTAACGAACTCGCCACCAAGCGAAGTCACCTCGCCACCAAGCGACGTTTCCTCGCCAAGGCAGTGGATAAAAGAACGAGGAATAATTTCTATATACGACTCGATCTGGTTGGGGGCGAACTCGATCAGGTTGAGTCGATGTGGGGGCAAACTCGGTGGGGGCGAACTCGCCATGGGGCGAAACCGGCAGCTACCATAGTTGATGAGGCCGAAGGCCGAATCAACTGTCGCCTCATAGAAATCGAGAGCGAACAATCTAATTGTTTTAAGTAGAATTCTAACGCACTGAAATTTCCTTCAAATGACGAACACAATTATTTCTGGTCTTAGTATTAAACTTCACGCTTTAGAAAATTCGCGCGGTCTGAATTAATTGTCAATTTGACATTTGCAGTTGTGTACGAGCATGTATCAGTTTCTTTCAAAAATTTCGAGCTTTTTTAATTCAAGAAACCGTAGATGCCCTCCTAGTCTTCTCAGGAATTTTGTTGATTTATTTGTTTGTAAACGTCTTTCAAAACTTCGGAGAAACGAGGAAACGTTGCAATTTTATTGACAACACGAAACCACTGCACACTAATGGCTGATAGGGTGCAATAGCTCAGCCAATCAGATTACAGCATTTGCATTAGTATACTAGTAGAATTCTACTAACTCGTGATAGTTGGCGAGGGCGCAGCCGGAGTCAGCTATCACCGATAGAAATCGAGAGCGAAAACTCGTATTGTTTTAGTACAAATCTACTAGTCGTTCAAAACTTTAGCCAAATCCTTTTCACAGACTCATCGAAAACGCAAAGAAGCACAGGCAATCGCACACTGCTAGGCTACTCACTATCTACAACAGAATACGCAGTGAGTAGCGTAGCCAATAAGAGAACTGCATTCGTGTAATAGAACGATAGCAGATTTGTACTAAAGTTCTTTAGAACCAAGTTTATTATATGTATGTATGGTGAAAATAGAGATACAACAATTTGTTTGCAGAAATTTACTTTAAACCAAAAACCTTTTTTCTGAGAGACCAAGATATAAACCCTATAGAGTATAAACATGGATAGAATAGCTATCAAGCGTTTCTTTAAATATCATGTGGTTCGAAAAGTGTTTCATTTAAATTGAACCAAATCAACCAAAACCAGTGGCAGTTTGAACTGATGGTTGGACCCAAAAGCAGACGACTTGGCTGTTTACCTACTTTACGTATCTTTTTACTTAATTATATTCTGTTGTATTTTTTCCTTCAATGTTTATATTTCAGGGTGAATTGGTATCAATATATTCCTCGCTGCGCCACGTAGCCAAGTCTGGTCTGTACAGCGTATCCATGCCAAACGCCTTCAATTTTGCATTTGATTTTCATCTCTTCCTAATCGTGGTCATGTTGTCTTACATTCCAAGTAAGTCATTGTTAATTTTTTTTTATTCTGCGACAAAAAGACTACGACCTGGGTTCTCATAGGAGCAAATAATCATAATAAAAAGAGGCAGCATGGCTTAGTGGGTATAGGGCGCTGGATTTATAATGCGGAGGTTCCGGGTTGAAATCTTCCTCCCTGCCGCTAGATGGTTTTGTGTTCGGTGATCCCGAATTCAACTATTTTACTACTT